GTTGTAGCTTCTCAGGCGGGTAGAGTCAGGGCTAGGGCCTGGGTCCTGCTGGGGCCTGGGCGTTCTCCACGGCAGGGCTGCAGGCTTTGCTTGCTGTGGAGGGATCAGAGGACGCCGAGCAGCCGAGTGTTCAGCTATACTGGTGTGCAGGGCGCGCTGGTTTTCTGCCGTGTTTGGAGAGAGTGGACGTGTCCAGGCTTGTTGTGTGCATGGTGCCACTGCAGCTTGTTTTCGCTCTGCGCTCAGGTTGTGAGATCGTATTCGGCTTGCCTTGCTTGTGCTTCTTCTGACTTTGCAGTTGCAATCATGCCAGCAGGGGAGGACCCAAGCGATTTGGAAGCGATCAAGTCCTTGGACCCCGACCTTGCAGGGCTTCTGCAATGCAAAGACGTCTCGCTGAGGACTCAGGCCTTGCTCGCAACTAAGAAAGTGAAAACCATCAGTCGCCTGTCGGCGATGGCGGATGACCGTCAGGGCGTTCGGGAGTTTTGCACGAAGGTCCTGGAGTTGGAACCTACGGCAAGCGAGGGCTTGGTGGAGGTGGCGTCCGTGGTGGATGCATGGGAGTCAGCGCGTGTGCGTGTGGAAGCCAGGAACAAGGCAGAGGCCGAGGCGGTGGTGGGTGGTCTTCCCAAGGTCGTGGCGCGGACTGAGCTGGCCCAGCTGAGAGAGAGGTTCGAGGCCTCTTTCTACAGCTTGCCGGACAAGTTGTTGCCGGCCAACGCCGCCCTGGAGCAACACTTTGGCATGGTGGACAATGGGGAATTCCAATATCTTTCCCTGAAGGAGTATGCGTCCAGGGAGGACGCGGCTCGGGAACCGTTTGCAGCTTCCATTGACAGGAGCACGGGCACGATCAAGGTCCGCAAGGGGCAGGTGTCGGTCTCGCTGCCCAAAACCGCAGAGGGGTTGCGTTTGCGGCTGCGTCTGGTGGCCCATGCATTTGTGCTTTGTTCATTGCGCTACCCACATGTGGCATCCTTGAGAGGCATTGCGCCGTCGCACTTCTACAACTACGCCGATTTCCTTTTGGGCGATTTCGTGCTAGGTTTGCAAGCTCGCGATGCAGCGGGAGCAGCAGTATCGTCCCCGGCCTTTGAGCAGATGCTTGCCTACGAGTACCAACTGCGCAAAAGCATGATGAAGGGCTTGAACGAAGGCAAGAGCTTGGTGTTTGCCATGGAGCAGTCTATGGCCGATTTGGTCCTAAAGGAGCGTTACTTCGTTACACCTTGTGCTTTGAGTGCCGTCAACCAGGCGGGTCCCGCATTTCTGGCAAGGGGCCGGGAGCGCTCCCGCAGCCGTGGGCGGCAGGGCGGCCTCCAAAAATGGCAAGGCAAAGGAAAGGGGAAGTCGCTCGGCCTTGCCAAGGTCTGGAATAAGCTGAAGCGTGTTACAGAGGATGGCCAGCAGATTTGCTTCAAGTTCAACAACCCTAGCGAGCGTTGCAAGGGGCAGTGTGAGCGTGCTCATGTGTGTCAACTATGCCTGGGCAAGCACCCCGTGCATGCCTGCCCGTCGATGCGCGAGGACAAGTCAGGCGCTGCGCCGGCTGGGGCTGGCCAGGAGTGACTCGGGCCCGACAAGGACGATCAGTGCTCGCCTCTGGTCAATGACCAGACTGCTGCAGAGGCCGTTTGGGTCGGCTACTGTGGCGCAGGCCGTCCAATTCAGGTGTCCTACAAAGGCAAGTTGCGTTCTATTCATGATGGCGGTGGTCTGTGCTCGCCGGGGAGATGGCAGATTTCGTCCAGGCGTTTCCCTCAGTCAGATGGCTTTGCCCGAGTCAGGGAATGTGTGCGGCGTTCGTTCCTTGATTGGGTCAAGCTGGCGGACTCAGGCGTCCGTTGCTGGTGCGCAGGCCATATTTTGGCAGCTCGCTGCGGGCAGGTGTACTTCGTCGCCTTTTGATGAGCGGCATCTAGTGCAAGCCAGAGAGGAGGTGGATGAAGTCTTGCGTGGTTGTGGCGTGGCGCCGGAGCGTGGTGCTAGCGATCGCAGGACTGAAGTGAACTTCCGTCGGCTGGCCGCGATGCTGGAGATGGCGGGGGACCCGGACTACGAGTTCCTGCGCG